CTCACAGTTCATCCAAAAAATGAATCTCCCTTGGTCAGCAATTGATTAAATGCAATTTATTTTACAGATCTGGTTACATGATATTCGTATAAGTGATATTCAGAGTTCAGAACAATATCCGTGTCCAACTCTTTATCAGTTTAGATATTGCAGTCATTAAGTCTCATCAGATTAAAGAAATGGTTTCAGAGAAAGGGACTATTTGGATTTGTCCCTATTGAATTCCACCAACTAATCCCATCTGTAATTGTATTCTTGCCTCCTAAAGTGTTATGACTTAAATGTTTCCTGACATGAACTTTAGCATATTTTGCATAACCACAGAAATCTCAAAGCTCTGATAGTATAACACCTTATCAACACTCTGGAAAAGTAACTGTTGCCAGTGGAGTTTCCCTACATATCGGTTTTAAACTCTACAACAGGGAGGAAGGAACTCCTCCATTGTGGTCAGGATGCCTTTCACCACAGTCTGAATCCAAACTAGAAGCTGCCAAGTTCAGAAGAAAACAATCAATGGAGGCGGAAAATCCAAGATGTAAAATAAAGGCGAAACAATTCAACATCTGCCATCTTACTCACAGAAACAACTTTAATGTAGCCTTTTTGTGCTGGAATAATACCAGGACTTGGAACAGGATTGACCTCAACCAGGATTGACATCAACATCTGAATCATGATAAATGAAATACAGGGTTGAATAGATAGATGTGCAAAACTAAACGTTTTTCACTGTTGGATAACTTAAAAAGACTAATGGATTTGCAGTGGCTGTTATAAAGTGACAATCCATGTTTTGCAGTATGAAGAGTTTATATGCAAACACAACAAAGGGGCGAAGCATTTTAATCAGCCAACTAAGTACACTTGTTATTCACTACATTAATTTTCACCTCTTTGCCTTTAAAATCATAGATGTACTTATATTGTAATTTTGAAGTAAATTATAGAAATGGTTAATATTACAAGTGTGAATAACCAAGGTTATCATTGTACTTTAATATCATTTTGTAAATGATAAATCGCCAGAAATCTTGGATTGAAATCTTAAAGATTTGTTTTTATCAACACAGTCTATGGCTAAAAATGCAATATTAAGTATAGAACAGCTGATATAAATATAGCCTATGAATTGTGTATGATTTATGGATTCAGCTAATAATCTTATTCACTAAGTAAACTAAATGTACAACATGTTTATATGACTGCCAATAAAACCAAACAAACTATACAACTTGAATAACTAATGATTTAGAAAACAAACCACAGCACAAGGCAGCAATTCAAGATATACAAAAATAAATCTCCAGCTGTTGGAAGGGCTGGTTTTCCAAGTCAGTGTAAGCAAACAATATTTACTTTATGGAATTATTTTGACAAATGTAGTACTTACTAAAATAGCAGAGATAAACAGTTGGCAAATATAATCTTGGATTGTTAATCAGGAGTTAAGGATTTGTTAAATCTTGTTTATCCAACATATTTTAGATAAAGGTTTACAGAGTTTCTAAATACAAGAATGCAGCCTCAGGTTCCAGGCTTCATCATAAACAACACTTTATTATCTTGTGAACACGTTCTGGCTATTTCATACATTTTAGACAAAGGAGTTGTGTGGTGTTATCAAACCGAGTTGGATCGTTCTATCAAACTGAACAAAATAAAAAGTATATTCTGAAACTTCTGGTTTAAACAAAAGTTAAGAATCTCAAATGCAATCTTATGTTGCCATCTGAAAATGCAAGAAAGAGCCCAATATGTCATACAATCTGTGCTATGTAGGCAGTCCCTTACATGTAAATGAAGAGACCATTGCAAATGGCCAGAAGCCAGCCCAAAGCAAAAACAATTGTGATTTTAAAAGAACTTGAAACTAAGCAAAAGGATCTGGTAAATGTAAGTATGACCTTCATTTTGTGTGGAACGAGACAAACACAAGCTCAAAACCACTTTAAAGCCCAGAATAAGAAGGGAGACTACCATCAAAACAAACCTCAGAAACACCAAATTCCATAGTATTTCCACACAGATGTAATAAGTAAGCAAAAAATAGCAGACACAAACATGAACTTTTAGACATCCAAATGCTGGTTTTGCTGTTTAGGAAAGGGTGTTTTCCTTGTGGGTGTGCCAAGAGAGGCAGCATAAAAACAAACACTCTTTGAGAAGTTTTAACAGAAAGTCAATTCATGAAGGTTTCAGGCTTAAAACCTTGTGTGGAGGATTCTTGGTACAGCTTTTACAAGTATGCCTAAAAAGGCATTATTCATTTAATCTGATAATAACCCCACATTTAAAACTTTCATACTTGCATCTCAGTTAGACATCTTGTGACAATATCACATAGCCAAAAGGTATCTGCAGATGGAAAACTATTGCCCTTGGACATTTCGTAGAATTATCTTTGTTATTTTGAAAGGAATACATAAACGGTTTCTGGATTCCAGACCAGGAAATGAAGACCATAAAGAGAGTAGAGACACGTCCACAAGACTCTCCAAAAGCAGTTTGAATCATTAAAGACTGATGATATCCATCCAATAAACTGTTTGAGGAAAGCAGCTGGGCAAATTCCTCTTTTTCACTTGGCAAACAACATTTTATGGCAAACGGCACGCCAGACAATATATAACCCATTACCGATAAAGAGAAATGCCATCCTACTGCAAAATGAAAATACAGAATAGAGTGCAGGCTCAATACAGACTGCATCCATCTAAAGCAGAATTTTTACATTACAGTATTATTCATGAAAATAATTCCAACATTTGTGGTTCATGACATTGGCCCCCAGGGAAGCATGTCCAATTTCTAATGGAGGAGTCTGCCTTACAGGTCATGCACTTTTACCATTTTCACAATTTGTACTTATGTAAAGCACTAAAAGGACTGAAAACAGGCACAATGTGAAATACTGTTGAAATGTCATCAGTGTTTTGGTGATTATACATACTGTAGATTTCTACTCATTCTAATAGGGAGGGAATAGGACAAAAGTATTACATTGCAAAGACCAATGTAAACAAGTCAATGAAGCTGGGTGCATAACCAGAGAGCAAGTTTACAACACTATTTTATATTGTTTCCTTTACTATGCGCAGTACTCAAAATATACGGTTATTTTACAGAGTATAAAAGCAATGCTTTGATTATTGCAAACATTTAGATTTTACATTAACAATACTCGATTTTCTGTGTTAACAATCAAAAAGAATAGATGTGGAACTACTTGATTTACTTTCTGCAGTGTTATTATTATTCTAGTGGAACTCAGCCTATTGCTCAACAGATTGCATGCTTAGCTTTATTTTCAACAGCTCCTCCCATAGAAATCTAACAAGAAGAAGAATTGGGTTAGGCAAGTGGAGCAAAAGCCAGTGCAGGGATCCCTGGTTTCGTTAATAACATGCAAAGTGTACGGGAAAATCTGATGTCTTGACCTGCATGCTACTGTGATCAGACTTTTTTCTATGAGCCAACTTCACTGCACATCATTTTATTATCCTCTTGATATCAGATATACAATTATTTTCATTTTCAAGTTGTGAGAAAATCTATTTCACTTACTTACAAACACAGTATCTCTGCATGCCTCGAACAAAAAACGAAACAATGTATGCACTACACTCGTAAGTATAATTCAACAAGGAGTTGTGTCCTACAACAAGGGTCGCATGTTGATGAGACAAATGCCTCTGATAGCACCTAAATAAACCACAATCTGAGATGGCAAACTTGTATTGCTTGCTCTCAACAATCAACTTCATTATCATAACCAGTGGAGAATAATAACTAGTGTATTTTTGTGGTGAGACTGGCTAAACATTTAGACCTATCTGGGGACCCCAGGAATATTTTGTATCTGAAAAATAAAAAAATGAATTTGCAGATGTTCCTGAGATGTGCAGAGCTAATGAAATACACTGTTTACCGATTGTGCATAGCAAACTGTGATGACTTAAGAGGATTCAGCTGCTCTTGACTTACATGGTGCTGGATGGACGCCACTGAAAGAGGCTAAGAACTTTGTTTGTCCCCTTATGGCAGATTAGGCGAATACTTTAGCTTTCTCCATGCTGCTCGCTGAGCAACAGTGCAGAGGTTTGTGGTATTTACAAAGAAGCATTTATCCTATGGATCATGTGATGAGTAAACATATGTACAATGACAAAAGGGTTGTGTCTGCTTATTGATGTATGTAATGTGTAACAACGCCCTTCTCTTAGATGAAAAGAGGTTGTGAAGCTGGCCCTCGGGCATAACATGGGAGAGGAAGCATGGGAAGCTCCCAGTGAGGAAGAACAACTGGAGAGGAAGAAGAGGGAAGAGGATCTCGCTGAGCATAAGAAGGACTGCCTTTCCTCGCAGCTGTATAACGTTACGCCCATCATGAAAAAGTGCACTCTTCCGGCAAAAACAAAAATAACACAACAAATCACAGACAAGTGCGGCTGTTGCGGGTACAAATAGACCCAAAGCAGAGCAAGAGGAGTAGCAAAAACACAAAACATGGAGTAACAAATAACAACGTGGATGCAAACACTGGCTACCAATACTGTCATTACGTGTGTCAGTAAAACTAATATGATCAAGGAGGCACAATATTTGGATCTTTAAATGAGTTTATGTGAGCATTATTCAGCGACTGTGTCCCTTACATTGGCAGTTAAACATGACAGGAGCACGATCAACAGGGACAGGATGTGACAGATTTTGAATCCCTGAAAAGTTTCGATTGATCCAAGTCAAATATCGCAACCTGTCGTGGGTAAATATCCACTGATGACCTGCCATCAGAAGTGTGTTTGATCTGTAAACACATGCCCGCCAGATCGTATTCACTATCTGGCCGGATTATGAGGGGGGGGGGAAGGAAAGTGTTTCTACTCTCGCCTGGTAGCTGTGTGGCTAACGTTAAAGCTAAGCGCAAAGCTATGTAGCATCAACATCATCACACACTGACTGTCGGCCTGCGCACACACATCGACCACAACACTTACCGGCTTTCTCATGATCGTATCCCACGACAATAAAATAGTCAGCAAATCTAGCCATGTCTGCTGCTTTTCCCGAGATATACCAACACAATTCAGCATTTTTCCTGCTTCCCAAGCACAGCCATGTTTGACAGAAGGAGTGTCACTGCGCTTGCGTGCAGTAGCGGGAGACATCCGTGGGCGTGGGCCCTCGAGTTTACAAATACAGCTCTGTGTCCGCCAACAGAGGCTTTTCCAGGCTCCACAGCAGGGGGTCCCAACTTTTTTACAGCCCCACTCCAGAAAATACTGTATTTCACTGCATCTGTGGGAAATGTATTGACAACATGTCTTTTCATGTGAATACTGCCTCGTTAATGCAATTGAAAGGAAATCTACCACATTTGTTTTAGACTCCTCAGAAGCTAAATCTCCATCAAGTTTGGTCAATCACGATTAACAGGTAGATAAAGAAACTTGTAATAAATAAATAAATGTAAAAGCAACTTGGAAAATGAAGTATTAAATTCAGCAGGCAAAATATATATAGCCTACCCTTTTTTTATATGCCATCCTATTTTTCAGTAGCCTATGAACATTTTGATTAAACAAAGCGATAACCTGCCTGGGACACATCAGCACTTTTTTTTATACGCATTTCACTTCAATTTTGTGTTTAATGCAACAAAAGAAAAATCAATATAGTTACTGTCGCAGACAAATATCTTGTTCTGAAGCCACTATTGAGATGAATGTGGTTGGAATTTGATATACTGCGTGAGGGGCAGGGTAAACTCATGGGGTGTGTGCACAATTTTGAAGTTATGAAAAAAAGAAAGCTCTCATGGAAGAGCACAGGGAAATCAGTCTCTAGCTAATCAGAGGGTCAGGATCGCGTAAACACTGTTACTATCAAGGATAGTAGGAACACTGCAAGCCATTTTTACTGAAATTATTTTTCTATTTTATCAACATCTCTTTAATTTGTTTTTTTGTTTAACAGTAAAAGAAAGACAAAAACCCAAGAAGTGTGAATCACACCAAAAAGTGATGGGGAAATCATGGCACCTGAATCAAACATTTTCAGGTGCCAAACCATGCTGTTATCATGGCTTTATAATTATTATGAATCATCAGTCGTGCCCTTGGGGTTGACACTCTATTTCCTGACATTATTGCTCAGGTTTCCTGTCACACAAACTTGCTTATACCAGTATAAGGTTGTTCAAAAACTGTCAGTCACACTGTCAGTCATACTACGACTATCAAATCTATTGAGGACGAGCAAACAATTTCTATATAAGGAGCCAAAAAGCAACGGCAGAATTTTGTTGCCGTGATTGCACAATCTCCTGTTGTAAACTAAGGGGATTACTTGTCCACCGGAGGCAATTATCATTACAAAGTGCTTACAAAACATTTGCTGGTTTACGACACATGTGTTTGAGATTTTTGTGTTCTTTGAGTTGGGTCGCATGAGATATAAATACACACAGGAAGGTTCTGTGTGGGCTAAAAACAATAAGTTATGAATTATAGGATGCCGATAATGTCAGAGTGGAATGTCAAGTGTTAAGTATTTCTAAAAATATGTTTAAAAAACTCAAGGGATCGTTTTCCCCAATTGTCGAAACTGAAACAAAATCAAAAGTGAAAGCATTTCTTCCTACACAAAACTAATTTAGGAAATTTCTGCAGTGGAATTTTTGTGCAGAAAAAAAAACCAGATGGGATTTCTTTGGTATATACAGAATTTCATACACTTGGCTTATGATTTAAAAATGTTTGACATTACATACTGAGTATTTCTGAGGCGTAGATTATGTCTTCATAACAATATGCTCATATAAGACGGACATATATCTATAGTTTCTAGGGAAAAAGGAGAACTGTGATAAACAAGAAGTTGTAAGCTCCTCAATGTGTTTTATGTGATGTTTTTTTCCTCTTTTTCCTTACCCCCTAGGGTCTTGTTATCAACATCTGCCTCATAAACCCCACTGGCACTGTTGTTGTTTTGAGCCTTACAGACTAATCATAAAAAAATATATATAATTGTATTTCTGTATTGCTGTCACTTATTAAGTTTTATCCTAAACATGGACATGTGTGGCCATGTGAAACGTGCGGCATGCAGGTTTAGAGTGACTCACCACCCGATGAAGTCCAATAAAGGGAGAGGGAGAGACAATCAGGCAGACTCAACGGCTCTTCCATTATATCCTAGTGGATTCTTGCATTCCTGAGGCAAAAGTGAAGTCATATTACTTGTAAATTATAATAGCAACAAATCAGCTGAACAATTTAAAGGAAATGCCTAAGCCAATATTGTTCATACATCATAGATTGTTGTTCAAGTTCATTTCATGACTCTTGATTTATTTTTAGATAAATTGTAGAATTCCATTTCACATTTATCAAAATATCAAAATAAATGACAAGGTAAGTCCGGAGTCAAATATTTGCCTTGTACAAACAAATACTTTGAGTATATTGTGTTAACAGTTGGGCACACTGACTATATTTAATCAGTTACTCAATGCTTGTCTTTTTCAAAATATCATATTCATCATCCAGTGTACTTTCAAGTGGACATGGAACTTCACTGTGTCAGGGAGTGCCCTGAAAAGCAGACTGTGGAAACATTCCTCAAATTTCATTTTACACAATTAATTAGTTGGACTGAAAGGAACGTTGACAAAACTATACTTAACTGACCTTAAAGTTCAAATAAAACAAGATGAATGTTTAAACCTTTTCTTTTGCCATTATTAAGATTTACAATACCCCTATAGAAAGCAGTCGGCTGAGATGAACACATTTTTCTCTTAATGAGACAGTGAGTGCACAATGGGACTTGCATAACTGACAACCATCGATGTGTTGCCATTATATTCACATACTGAAATAAATCAAAACAACATATTATACCAATTTACATTTTTTGTTAATGTATAATTTTTACTGATGTGGAAAAAAGGTAATGTTTTATCTCAATATGTTTGTCAAGGCATGACAAACTGGCTGCATTGCAATTATTCTAAAATTACTTTCCTTTCATCATTTTTACTTTTATTTTCATTCCTTATCTTTTTACTGTATTGCGTTGTTGTACTGTATGAGCAGCAGCACGGCAGCAGTGTACGGGATGGGGTGGGGGGAAAGGATGAGAGACTGTGTGTGTCAGTCAATGAGCCCCTCCCACCTCCTGTATAAAGCCTCCCAGTCTGGTGTGTAGGAGCTATTAGCAGAGTGACACAGCTGCCTTACAGTGGCAAACTCAAGAAACCTGTGGAGTATTCTTTACAGCTGACAAGAAGCGCTTTCTCATCCAACTGAAGTACCAGATAATGACAGGTATGTGCACTTACTTTTAAATACGATTTGTATTGTGGTTTGCTCTGCTGCCAGCTGATGGCTCTATCCTTTCTTTTTTGAGGTCAGAGCAAGTGTAGAGACAAGGACAGGTTATCTGTCTCATTATATAAGCAGTTCAGCTCTTAATGTCTGAGAAGGAACTGCTTGAAGGTGTAGAAAAGCATCTGACAGTACCTCACAAATTGTTTATTAGTTGCAATTGATTGGTGTATTTTTAATTAGGTGACTGAGTTGAATAGCATTTTAGTTTTTGTTTGACTTCTGAGCTGAGCCAATTTCGGACCCCTCATGGGTAGACTGTCCTTCGGATCGTTGGCCAGGGGCCCAAAGCATGGTTGTAGGTTTACTTAACCGAGCAAAATCTGACCTTAGCTTAACTTTTTAAATAAATGAACGATAAGTGCAAATTACTTGGCTTTTGGACTCTTGTGTAAGCAAGCAACAGTGTGGCACTTGTAGGAATACTGTTTGAGTGAGTTTACATACTTTTAGGGACAATATGAAATGCATGTTAAAAGTTCAATATGAATTTATGGCATGAATAAACAACTGACAAATGTTTACTTTCTTCTCTACAGGAGTCAAAATGCAATTGATCTTCCAGTCCTTCCTCTCTTGCTGTCTGCTGGCGACAGTAGTACACTGTGTGGAACTTGAAGTGAATCCAGAGTTGAAAAAAAAGTGAGTGATTCACTGAGTAATCTAAATGCTTGATATAACATCTGACACTCAGGCAACTCTGTGACAGCTTTTACCATTTTATTGAATGATCTACCTAAGACTAATGGACCTTTTTCTTCCCTTCAAAGGTTAAGCACATGGCTTGGAAGCAGATTGAGACGGGATCTTAACAGTGTATCAGTGGAGAAGACAGCGGAGTACTTTGTCAGACCAGAGGATATCAGGGATACTTTGCTGCCACATTCCAGGTATGACACTAAAAATGCAATCTAATTCTACAAACTATTACATCATTTCATGTCAGCTATATGTATTCTGATTGTCATAGATTGAACATCATGGATTAATTTCATCTTCTCTTTCCCTCTGTCCTCCAGCACTCACACCAATGTCCGAACCAAGAGGTCTAAGAACTCATCCAACCATTCAAAAGGACAAGGTTGTTCTCTGGTCACCTGCACCGTGCACGACCTCGCACATCGCCTGCACATGCTCAACAACAAGTCGAAGATTGGGACTGCCCCTCGTCAGAAGATCAGCGCGCACGGATATGGACGGAGGCGTCGCTCTCTTCCAGTGCGCAGAGTCTCACTCCGGCTGGAGCAGGGCAGGCTGAGGCCCATGTGGAGCATAAAGGACTCACAAGTTCACAAGCTCGAGGCTCTCCTCAGACGGACATGAGCCGGACTTTGCAAGAGGAGTTGGGAACAAAACCAAGGGAGATAGTGCCCTCTCTCTGTTCTAAAATTCTCCAAATGCCTTAATATGTCTGCCAAATATTTCCAGGCACTTACTTTTAAGGCATGAGAACTGAGTCAGAGCAAGACTGGCTGCACTGAGCTTCTCTAAAGGCTAAGCCTTGCAGCTCTGCGATGTGGAGCGTGCAAACAGCTGCAGCTGGCGAACAGACACTGGATGGCACAGCGTGGAGCTAACTACAGGTGCTGCTTTCTGCTTGGCAGAGGGAACTGAAGAGTGCCAATAGCTGGCAAAGTGGACGCATCCTCTGGCTTAAGAGGGATCCCTCTTCTTTCATTCTGGGACTTTACACATTTCTTCCTCAAGGCCAGAACTCTGATAAGTGCTATCCTCTAAGGATTATACCATGTTCCAAACTGTCAGTACTTGTCTGCACTTTTCCATTTGGACTTAAAGTCAAATGAATCATCAGGAAAAAACATCTTCATCACAATGCCAAACAGGAAGATAGGCTACAGAGCTCTGAAGCTCTCAGTTTATATCAAGTTTTGGACACTGTATAAGGGAAAATGCCTTAGATTCTGTGAGATATGTGCCAGTCCACAATGGATTGAAATATACTTGAAATTGTTATTGTATGTACAAAAACATGTGCAATCTATATATTGTTTTTTATTGCAGGTATATGTATATATGAATTCCTTTATTTAAATTTTATATAGAGGTTACAGTAAAGTACTTATGAGGATAGAACTATTTTTGTACAGGAAGAAATATATATATGGGCATTGTAGCTATTTGCCATTATTCTTTTGTAAACTGTGGTAATAGGATATTTGTTTTATATGTATATTATATATTTGTAAATCAGTTTTATCTTATTTGTGTCAAAGCAATAACATTGTTATTCAATAAACATTTTTGCATACAAAATCTATACCTTGTCCAGAGATTTCTTGCTCATGTGTCTTATACATTGAAAGTGGCTTTCTATTGTCTGGAGTGCACGGCTATAGCAAGACACAGCACCTGGTCTCTGTTAAGTGATTACAGGGTCTCATTAGAGCTTCCCCGCCTCTCACTACATTCCCCTAGTTATGACCGCCCCCCCCCCCATCAAAAAAAAAAAGGGCAGACAGGGTGCCAGGCGCATTCCTGCTTGGTTCAGCTCATATTTGTTGTCTCACCCCTCGCCACAGAGCAGCCCTAAAGCCATGAGAAGAGGCTGAGGCTTAGCTCCATCTGTATTCAATGGTTTGGACACGAGAAGGCCGATGCGGGGGGTTCCGGGCTTACATTCCTGCGAGAGCATCACAAAAACTTCTCCTTTAAAGTAGTGATCATGACCTTCACATTCAAGCAGAGCCCCCCCGAGAATGAACAGCACTGACAGATTGCAGACCTCTCTACTTTACAAATTATCCCCACTTCTTTTACATTTATTAGAAGTTCAGACCTCTCAACCTAAGACATATATATAGCAGATTGCTATTTTGACTGTTTTCCTTTTCCATTTTTTCATTCAGACCATTCCCACAATGCAAAGGGTTCAAACTGACACAAGTGCACTTGTCACTTTGGGAATGTAGTATGAGAGAAAATGAAGAATGATGGACCATGAGGATAGTCCAGACTTGGCATCTTATCCAACAACTTAGTTTGTTCCCTATTGCATATATTTACATGTTTAATGTTTACACATATCACATAAACAAATTAAACTACAATAGATCAAATCAGAAATATATTGAATGGTTTTAAGTCAGAATAACTGGATCCTTAGTGTACAGTAAGACATTAATTGCATCTTGTTTGGTGTCGCCTGTACTCAAATCATTAAACTGGATGTTCTTTTACAAAAAATGTTAGTGAAAACATTCAGGACTTGCAAGAGAAGCTTGAAACTGAATGAAATCATAATTAACTTTTCCGTTGAACTAACAGCACTTCATATTGAGTAAAAGTGTGACCACTAGTATTTAAAATGTTGTTGACTGGATACTGCTTTTCTTTTAATTTGACTGGACAAACCAATTACTCCAGTCCAAAACTTGTAGTGTGTTTCTGAAACTCTATTGCCATCTAGTGAGATAATATGGGTACAACTGCAAAGATTGGTTTCTTGGCTGTATGAATTGAATAATTTGAAAAATGTGTTCAAATAGATCAGACATATTTTTTCAAAAATGTTTTAAAAGGAAATAAAAGTGATGGATGAGAAATTGAACTATTTATTTATGTATACTGTTTGGTTACATATCGTTAGCCTAATAGCATAATTGCCTAAGTCATTTTTTGGCCAAATTGTGATATCTGCCTAACTTTACTCTCCTACCACTGCTGCATCACCCTGCCTTATTGCCTATGTCCTCAGCCTATCAGAACGCATTTCAGAGTCCAAAATCACTATCTGCCTAAGTCATCTCTTTGACTTAGGCCTTTTTGACGCTACATAAAAAGATGGCGGACCGCATGAGACAGAGGGCTCTGCTGACCACAAGTGAAGCATTAGCTCTTCTTTTTGATTCATCTGTTGAGCTAGTTCATATTTCTTCAACTTTCTAAACCCTAAATGTACTTTCAGTCAATCAAAGGGATTAGGAACTGTGTGTTTAAACTTTTAATCACATTTCTGCGACAAGGTATGATGAAGTAGCAACACTCAGCAACTTTATTTTCTTTTGCTTCAGGGTCAGGAAATGAACTTGATACCAATTTAGAGAAGGACTCAGAGAAGGATTTAGATGACAGTAGATGTGAGAAAGAAGGAAATGACATAGACACCGGGCAACGGATTGAAGAAGAAACAGCCGATGAAGCCTCCAGAGCTGATTCTGATCCTGATTCATGGTCAAAAAGTGAACACGATGACTCTGTCTTGGATGAGGACTATAGACCTAAGAAAGATGACCGCCCAGATGATGATAGTGATGCAGACACGGCTCAACATAGTGAAGAAGAGGCTGCACTTGAAGCTCCCGCTGTTAAACGTCATAAGCGTCCAAGGTCACATATGTGGAAGCGACAGGTGATAAAAGAGAAGCGCCTTAAGGGGGAGAATTACAAGAACGCAACGCGACAGGAGAGGCAGCCAAAGACCATGGGCCCACCCTGCACATCACAGCACTGCTTAAGGTCGGAGAAACGAAGTTGTGAACTGCTGAGTGAAGAAGAGAGAACGGATATCTTCAACAATTTCTGGTCCATGCCCTCCTGGGAGACACGCAAGCTGTATATCCAGACTTTAGTGGAAAATGTGCCTATAAAGCAGAAGAAAGGTGGTGTTGCATCAAGGAGAAAAACGTCCCTATCATACCACCTGCAACTGGCAGATAGATGTAAACTACCTGTGTGTGAGATTATTTTCTGTTCAACCCTTGGCATTGCCCCCAGAACCATCGGATCATGGTTAACTGTGGACATGAAAACCAAAACTGATCCGCCCAAACCCAAGATCAATAAGAATGGTCCACATATGCCCATATCAGATGCTGACCAGACCTTCCTGAAAGAATGGCTCTCTTGGCTTCCTACTTTTCCATCCCATTACTGCCGTCAGGTTCCCTCTTATCAGGATAAGACGTTTGTGGAGCCGGGAACAGTTCTAAGTGACCTTCACAAGGAATACCAGAAAGCTGCTGGTAAAAGTGGAGCACGTGTTGTGAGTGAGACATATTTCCGAAAAGTGTTCAGTGAGCAGAAATACTCTGTGTTCGTACCAAAAAAAGACCAGTGTGATGTATGTATCGGCGCCAAGGTGGGAAATATAGATCAGGATACCCTTACTACTCACATGAAATTAAAGGCTCAAGCTCAAGCTGAAAAAGCTAAGGATAAACAGGAATCCAGTGACAAGGTCTCAGTGTGGACAATGGACCTTCAGAGCGTTCTTCTGTGTCCCAAAACAAAAGCTAGCAAGATGTATTACAAAACTAAATTACAGATGCACAACTTTACTTGCTTCAACCTGGGTAACAAAGATGGGTATTGTTACGCCTGCGAGGAGCATGAGGACTCCCTCAGCAGCGAGGTTTTTGCCCATCTGCAGTACAAGCACTTTGAGTCAGTCCTAGATGCCAACCGAAACATCGAAAAGGTCCTAATCCTGGAAAGTGATGGCTTGGCGGCTTATCAAAATCCGATGTTTCGTACCATGCAAAATGCGACTACGATTCTTGGGCCATGAAAAAAGGCATCGGTGTCACCATAGAAACCAAAAAAAGTTTTTTTTTGCTTTTGGTTTTTTGGCAAGGGGGGCCACCAAAAACACAAAAGATGGAAAGTGGGGGTGAACCTCCAATGCCAATAGCCTCGCAAAATTTTTTGAAAAAACAGGGCGTACGCATTTCAAAGAAAAATTATTTTCACACTACCAACGTTTGGGAAAAATTTTTTTTAAACAAAAGTTTTGTCAAATTCCTTTTTTTGAAGACCGCACGTTTTTTTTTTTTTGTTCTTGCAACCGCCATCCCCCATAACAAACGGTTGACGCCAGCTTTTTATACCGACAAGTGCTTGAAACCTTCAGGGAAAAGTCTTACTTTTTGGGGCCTTTACATGTTTCACGCAAAAAAAAAAATCCGACCAGGCGCCCAAGAAAAAGTTTGCGCGGGACCCCCCACAAAGTCCAATGGAACGCTCTGTTCGGGTTTTCTTCAGTCTTTTTTCTTTAACTTGGCAAAAGAAATTTTGGCTTCCCGAATTCCGGCCACAAAAGTTCTTTTTTTTGGAAATTTTTTTTTTGGAAAAGTTCCTTTTTGGGAAAAAAAACTTTTTGGGGAAAAAAGAACGCCTTTTTTAAAACCTCCAAGGGCGAGCTTTTTTTTTCCCAAAAGCCCCTCCCGAAAAGAAACGCCGGGTCCCCCACCTGGGGGGTTTTTTTTTTTCCCAATTTCTTTCTTTGCCAATTCGCCAATTTAACTTCTCAGCGGAAATTACAACTGGACTTTTTTTTTACTTTTGGCAGGCGCAAATCGAAAACCAGTTCTTACCTTCAACCACGAAAAAAGTTTTTGGGGGCCCCGCCACCAAGAAGTTTTTTTTAAAAAAAATAAGGACCGGGAAACCAACACCTTCGCCCTCAAAATCAAAAAAACTAAGAAAAAAAAAACGAGTTTTTTTTTTTTTTTTTTTCACACAAAACAAGCCCAACCTGAAGGTTAGGATTGGTTTAGGTTTTAAAACATTAAAGAAACAACCTTTGGGTTTTAAGGTTTTTTTTTTTTTAGACCCCAGTGGTTTTTTAACACAACTTTGGGGTTTTTTTTTTTTTAATTAAAATTAGGAAAAAAAAGGGGGGTTTAAAAACCCTACTTTTTTTCTTATGTTATGTTTTTTTTGTTTATTAAAATTGTTGTTTTTAAAAAAAAAAGTTTTTTTCTAAGGAAAAAAAAAATTGGAGCAATAAAGTCCCATTGGCAACATTTTTCTTGCCAAGTTTTTTTTTTTTTTT